GAAAGAAGCACAGTAATAATGACATATTTTAGTCACCTCCTTGTAGCAGACTGTGCAAATCTCACACCAAGATGTGATGAAAGCAGCATTTTTACACAATGTACTTGTGCCATGAAACAGTCATGTTAGAGATTCACATGAAAAAAGCCAATTGATCAGTGCAGGAAACTTGATTTTAAGACTTTTTTTTCTAAGGATACACATTTTAACAATGACCATAATGCAATATAAATCAACATTGTTGAGGAAGCAAAGAAAGCCATAAAAACACTTACTACAATGATCTTGATCTCAAAACAGGAGGGCTAGATTAAGTAAAGAAGATTTTAAAAAGGAACAGAAAGTGAGCACCAAAGGATAAAACCTTTTCCAAATGCAGGGACACTTCAAAGACACCAAGTAGGAGAGAAAGAACTAATGCCTGCCAGCTATTAAAAGAAGACTTCAAAGAGACCAGAAGGAAGTGAGCACAACTGAACAGTATGTAAAGAGAAACTATTAGAAATAAGGAACTATTCTTCAAAGACCTGAAGTTGCATCCAAATGTGAAAAATACAAAGAACCAAACTCTAGCAGACAAAGTAAACACTCCAGTAAGGCAGTCCCCCCTCAAAGGCAAGGAGCGTATCCTGTAAGGTATCAAAACTAACACTTGTCCTTTGTCAAAAACTGCAGGGGCAGAAAGCATACCGGACAGCATGTAGGCCAACAGATGATCAAGGAATGAAAAGAGAGCACCAGTGAGGTTTTTTTAAACACATGTTCATTATGGAGGAGCCTGGGTAGGCTCTTGTGCCAGAACCTTCTTTTATGGGTAATGTCACAAAATATCTACCTTGAAGTGAACTGTCAGGAGACTAAAGAGTCAAATAAGTGGTAACAAAACTCCAGGACCAAATGGCAGTTATCCAAGAGATCTAAAGCTGTACCAGAGTGCAAAAACTCTCACCTAGTATTGTCTCAATATGAAAGAAATGGTACATTATCAAATATGATGCCAACTTTCAAAAGATGCTTCAGAGGAGATCTCAGGAACTACAGGTCAACAAGCCAGACATTTGTATGGTTAGAAGTTTCAAGCAGTAGAAACTGCAATAAAGAAAACAATGAGTAGGCACTTGGATGAGCATTATATACCACAGTAGAGTAGACAACACAGCCTTCTGTACAGGGAAATTACCATGATAAAACCTCCAGAATATTTCTGAGGTGACAATCATGTGAATGAGCAAAGCTTGGTTGATGTTGGATACCTTTACGAAACTGAGTTAGACTGATCACAGGATGCCTCAAACTCACTTTAAAAAACCCACAGGTATTTACATGGTCAATTGATTAAAAGTTACTAGAACATTGGCAGGAATAAATGGCCGGTTTGCACAGTACAGGGAAGTTGCTGGTGGATCCATGCTGTTCAACATATTGATAAATTATCTGGAAAAAGGGAGCAACTAGCTTTTACAAAGTTACTCAAAGTTCTAGAGAAAAATGCAATGTTAAGAATTCTTAGAAACTGAAGGGAAAAAGCATCTCACCTCTTTAAAGCCACAGAACAAATTCATGGTGAGATTATATGTTAAATGCTGTGCACAGCTTTGCTGTTCATCGCACGAATAACACAGCGAGACTAGCAGAGACAGAGAAGAGAAACAAGCACAGCAATAGGTATGGAAATGCTGCAACAGAGGAAAAAAAAGATTGACCAGATCTTTTCAGGTGGAAAAAAAGCAGACTGAAATGAAGTTATGGCAAAGATCTATAAAACAAGGAATGACACAGAAATGGTGGATAAGAAACAACTGCTCATTGTGTCTTTCAACACAAGAGACTAGGGTATATCAAGTCAAACTAGAAGGCCGTTAAGTTCCACAAGTTCAAAACAGAAGTACTTCCTCACACAAGGTGCTGGTAAGCTGCAGAACAGCCCGCAATAGTTTACTATGTACACAGAAAAACTATATGCATTCAAGATGCAGCTGGACAAATTTGTCAAAAACAAAACCCAAACAAAACCAACAAATTCACTGAAAATTAATAGAGACATTGCCCCTGGTTGAGAGACTGCATATTGACAAAAAAAGTATCAGACGTATCACTATTCACTTGCTTCTTTCTTCTACTCCTCACTAGGTACCCATTGCTACCCACCCGTCTAACGGGATAAAGGGCTGGAAGGACCCTCAGTCGATGACCACATGGATGGTCTGTGCTATCCAAGCATCACAAGGAAAAGGTACTTTCAACCATAAATATTTACTGCAAGAGAAGTAGGTGAGAAAGATTGTCTGCCAAAAAATACTTGGGCTTTGTTTGTGATTAATATACAAGTTTCTCACTGAATACGTATTAACTTTCAAGATGACATATAAAGCTTTTTTTTTTTTTTTAAGACTCTGCAGCGGTTGAGCTGTTTTGGATACATGATCTCATTTACCACCCCCTCTGTCTTGTACCACACTCATCCTTCATTTATAGTCATTGCTTGTCTACATGCTAGCCATTGCAATTTGTTTGAGCCACCTGCCTTAGCACAATGGTGCTAAACATCCTAACAGAGACCAGAAGTCTCAAGATCTGCAGCTTTTAATTAAGAGGTTTACTTTCTGTTCTTCCAATATGTTATGACTTAGTCATTAAAAACATGTATTACTTAGACTTATGTCTAGCAATTATACTTGCGTTTTTATACTTGGTCTTTTCTGAGAAGATATTTATTACCTCCATCCAAATGGAAAAGAGAATATTGAATTTTTTAATAGACAACTTTTTGACAATTTAAAGGAGTGCTGTTTTTAGCAGACCTTCTAGTGAGCCAGGATATCATGCTCAGTTACTGCATATTCTAGCCTGAACTTCAGCTTCTCAGTGCTTGTTCTTGCAGTTTAAATTGCCTATATCTCAGCCTTTTCATCATTCCATTTTCACTGTACCCAGATCATTATCTATTGAAGATTTCTAGAAAGCTGAATATGATAGTTGCACAGTTGCCAAGGTTATCAGTCTTGAAAATATATTTTTATACTCTTTAGTATTACAGCTTTCAAGGCAGTTGCTATACACTGATGATATAAACCAATAGCAGGAGCTTTGAGAAGACTTACTAGTTCTATCTTCCCCCAAACTAAACTTCACAAACAAAAAATGCCAAAATCAAACACTATATGCCTACAGACCCTTTTTTGCTATATCTATTTTACACACACAAAAATGCACAACCCACACAATGCAATATTTAATTTCACAGAACAAAGCCTAATCTGTCTATTCAGGTCCTGAATAGGCTCCTACCTGCATTGTCTGTCAAGTTCTAACATCAAAATTGCAGTCAAGTAACTTAAAGTCATAATATGGAACTAGACATCCATTTCTTAATATTGGCATTTTGCTCATATTCCACACCCTAACAACCAGTGAAAAGTACCTATTAGCTAAAACTGTGCAAAAGGAAAAAAACTTTGACATCTATTTCAATTTTTAACATTTACAAGAAAACCTCTAATAAAACCCAAATACAAAGAGAAACTGAGGATTTCATAGTCTCTGATATTAGCTAATTTTTTCTTCCAGGTTTCACCGTAATACATGGCTCCCACAGATGTTAGCAATAAAGTCCCAATCTCATCCATCACAGAATGCAGTAAGTGAATTCATGCATGCATAAAGCCCTAATGAATTCAAGGGGACTCACGTGTAGATTTTAGCCATGACAATTTGCAGGGAGTAGTATTTCGAATGTAAACACAAATAAAGACAGAGTCAAGTCTGCTGTGCAAAAAGTTGAGTATTGTGACACTAAGTTTACACAGGAAGTATCAGAACTTGCCCAACAGACTGAATTTGAAGAATATAAAGTGATACTTTATCTGAAAACAAAGATTCATATTTGCAAGACAAGCACTTGTAGTCAAGTTTAAAACTGAAATGAAAGCTTACAATGAAATACAGAAGAAAAATTAATGACTGTTATATGTAAATACACAGCAATTTTGTTCTTTCAAACATGTCCAAAAGAATGCTTAGAATTCATAGTCTTTCTATGTTTTCCCTATTAAAAAATCCATTTTTCTTAAAATCCAGAAAAAGTCTATTTGAAACTCAGGCCCCTCCAAAATGCAAATGTTTCATTTTTCAAATACAACTATTTACATGTGAAAATGTTCTTCAAGAAAGCAGCTACCGTAATGACCACCAATATAGAGTCCTTTAGGTGTGTCTTTGCTAAGAACATTTTAGTAATGTATTCCCACTTTGATTCCTGTTCATTCAGCTTCTATCTAGAGGCAATCACTCTGACAAACCTGACAAATCAGTACGGTTTCCTTTTGGTATTGAGAGCACTACCTTTAGTTAGGATCACATGAAAGAATCTATTTGCATAACAGATATACAGTTACTTGTCATATTAAAAGTGTGAAATTTTGATTTGTGTTTTCTACAGTGATGCAACTAATGGAAGGATTAATTAGGAGGGGTTTGGTAGGAGGTCATACACTTGATTACAGTTTCAAAGGGAACTACAAAATCAGATTTCCCAAATAAATACTATGATCTCCAGCCATACGGATCCTCATTCAAAGACCTTTCCCCATTTTATTAAGTCTGTTAAAAAGCAATTTACAGAACTTGCAGTCCTATTAACTGTTCTATAGTGAACAACTTCTTTTGTCCAACCTGGGCATAATAAAGGTGGAGGTGAATTCCACTGTTAAAGACTTACCATAGGTTGCAAATGTTCTTCTCTGTTGTTCAAACATGAAATCATTGATGTGAGCTGGTTCTGCATATCCAGAAAGCATATTTCTAGGTGCAGCCATCTGCTGAGTCCTAAATGGGTTTTCTGGTCCAAACTACATCAACAATGTTAAAAGAAAGTTTATCAGAATTACTAATTTCTTACTTTTGTGTGTGTACTTTTTCAGGAAAAAAAAGACAAGAAAAAAAACCCACACTTGTCTTTCAAAAACTGTCAAGCAAAATCACTTCAACTTTCTAATTCTTTATGACTACTGAATAAGCTACTTAGTCTGTTATTTCATACAGTAATTGCTTACACAGTTTCTTCGAACAGCTCGTTTCATGACTGAACTTTCTAGCCTGTATTACTGGTACAGAGGACAAATCAATATCAACTACTTGACACAAAACACTGCCATTCAGTATGTGATGTATACAAGCATTCAGAAGACAAAAACATAGCATACTGTCCCGTGTAAGGGGGAGATATCAAGAAACAGGTATCAGGTCCTACTGAACTCGTGTACTTAATATGGAAATTATACTGTCAACAATATTTTCGTGCAGTTAAAAAGTAACTGGGGACTTCCTGTATTATTCCAGGAAATACACTTATGAAACCCTGCCTTGCTTTTTGTCTTGTGAGATGACAAACGCCAGTCTTCCTGACCATACCATGGGTAGGGAAAAGAACAGTGAACACAAACAAATGCAATACACTGAGATTAATCAAACTAAATTTAATTGTAACCCCTGTCCTTGTCAGCCATATTTGCAGACACCTGAGACTGTCCCACATTAGGCTTCCCTAACTAAAAGACTTGCACGAGGTAACCCTGTAGTAAGTTTAAAACAGTATTTTTGCTCACACACTTCATGGCTTTGGTATGGTGCAAAATGCAAGCTTGCTATGAAAAGGCCAATTTATGTGGTTTCACAAAAGGTTTTCTAAACATAACTAATGTAGAAATTTCAGATTGATGCAGCCTTTGTCTACCTAGAATGCTAACCCCTGGTCTAACAGAAGACAAACTGTACAAAGAAGTTAAATAATGAAAAAAGTTAAATGCCTGAACAGGTATTTTTATCTTTCAGATAGCCTGTCAGTTATAATAAAATAGAAAGTGGTTCACATGGCACCAGGCAGTCCAAATTCAGCCTAAAATGGTTTTTTCTATACTCGTTTAGCAAACCTTAAGTTACTAAAATCCTTAACACTGAATAGTTATACTGAAACGGTTACACTGATGTGAATAGTTATACTGAAAGTACTTGGATTTTAATTTTAAATCCTCCTCTTAAAAGCCATATATCCACAAGACTTACAACTGTTCATTTTACTCTAAGTAGCAAAATAAGTAAATAGCAAAGATGTGAAAATAGTAAGAGACTATTTTAATGCAGTTCATGTTTTACTCAACATCTTTACAATGCTATTCTCCTAGCTCGATTTCTTATTTCCATAGCTATAATTCTGATAAACATTTTAAGATTCTTCTTAGAACAGCTTTATGCAGGATACTAAAATTCAAGCATTAAAAATACCAACACACCTGTGTAGAATCTTTTTTCAATTTACCCAAACTAGATTCCAAAATACAGCAAGCATCCAAAGAAGATATGTCTTATGAATTTCACATTAGATTTATAGAACCTCTGCCCTTTAAGTCAAAGGCATTTCTGCTCTAAAGATTAATACTGTTTCTCACCTCAGGTGCAAACATGGTATCGTAAGTGGGATTGTATTGAACTTCCTTGATAGCAGGATCAAGGTGGACTCCTGTTTCCACATCTTCCTGAAATAAAACAGACATATTAATAAACCATTTTTCACATACAGACTTTTAAATATATGACATTACCCCTTTTCAGACCAAATTAATGCTGTAGTTCAAGTTGACACTTCCAGCACCATGAAAGGAAAAGAGTAGTTTGGCCAAAGTTTCTATTTTTCAAAAATATTCATTGCAAAATCAATGTTGGGCCCCCACGGAGAAATTCATCTAAAATACACACAGCATTTTGCATGTGTATTATCACTTTTTTTTGGAAAGACTTCATGCACACATTTTAAAAACAGTCAAGCTTTTTTTTTTTTTGGAGGATGCTCGAAACCCAGACCTTGTAAAGAAGAGCCAATTAAAATGGTCACCAATTTAATACAGAAGTGTGAAAACTAGAGTTCTACAAAAGGTAGAAGGCAGAAGTCACACGTAACTGTTTTGAAAGATAGCTGGGAAAAAAATATTAGACATCAGCCCAAACATACATATAGCAATGAGTTTCAGAGAATCCAATGATCCCTTATCTCCAAGTTTTTACCAACAGGTATAAACATAATTCAGCTTCAGTATTTAAAAGCATTTCCAAGTTTCTTGTGACAAATATTTAACTTGATAGATGAAGGGTCAAGAAAGAGGGGCTAACCGAAAGAATAACTTCTCAAGTAACTCAAAGGGAAAAAACTCAGAAGGGCACATGCAGCTGAAGTAGAAGACAGAAAATGGGAAAGAAAAAGGCTGATTAGGTGGCAGTGCTCAAAAAGATCTGGTTTCACAGAGCTCTACAAAGGCTCATTTACATTGATCCTAAATTGACACTCCCTCCTCCATTGCCACCCAAGGGCTCAGTTAATGAAGGAGAATGTTATTTTGTGGTATTATTACTGGCATTGCTTCCTGCATCTTTATTCTACAATAAATACGTTGGAAAGGGATTTACAATGTGCTAGTATATTGATAATATCCCTAGTAATTATATTGAAAATGCTATCTTAGCATCAGTGTTTAACCAGTGCTCACCTACAACAGGATCCAAAAGCATCTGCAACTCACGGCAGCAAGCGGCACAACAGATGATCAAATTTTATCAGTCACTTCATCAATAGAAAATTACCTTGAACAAACTCAATTGTGCTTTGTATTATAGTATCTTGAAAGAGCAAAATGGCACATTCTTTACTTATTTAACATTGTTAGCTCTTCTCTGACATGCCGTGCCCAGAAGCTTTTTTCTCCCCAATTCAAGAGCAGGTCAATTACAAACAAATCTGCTTAGGCATGCAAGACTTTAAAGGTTTTTAAATCTTGTTTTCTAGAACACAGAAAAGAAAAAAATACCTAAAGATCTTTGGCTTGTTACCTGATTATATTTGGTTAAAACTGCTCAGAAAAAAAAAAAATTACATCAGTAATTCCATCAATTGTTTTTCGACTAAGACCACTGTCTTAGCAGAGTTGTTAGGTCCAACTAGAAAGCTTTACTCTCACTGCGTATCAATTATTTCAACCGGCAGGTCCAGCCATCGCACTGCTCTTGCTTGAGCCCTTAGCGCTGCCAGTTCTCGGCCTGACCTCATTTCTCTCATCACACGACCTTTCCAATTCACTGGCCTTGGGTGACAACAGCTACCGGTACATTCACAGCCCTGACTTTCATACATGGTGAACTTGCCTGGGAACAGCACAGCAGGCCTAATCCAGTCATTAAGCAAGAAAACCACACACCTCCCACCACCACCACCACCACCTAGAATACGACCATATTAAAACCCTTTCCTAACCTGTGTTATCTACATACTTATCTTTCTTTTCACACCTCCATGGCCTGAGGACATTTTCTACAGACAACTTTTTCAAGTCACATAGTGCAGCTTGCTGTGCCAGCTAGACTTCACATTTTATCCACCAACCTTATAATTTGAGACAATAGAAGTTAATATCATCGATAATATGACAAAATTTATCTGATCAACTGTCAGTGACATTTAAACAGTTATCAGTGTACTTGAAATTAAGACACAGGTTTTTTCCTGCTCTTTAAACTGAAAAAGTGAGAAAAATCCAGTTTTGAAAAAATGCCAAGAATTTTTCAGTTCTGCTATTCCTCCTCTTTTCTCCCTGTTAAGTCCTGTTATATGCTGCTTGGTAACTGAGAAAAGAAACAGATTGTGCCATGAAAGCCGATTCTCTGCTGGACGATTATAGCAATTCTGGTTCTACTTTGCTGCTGGTGGAGCAGTGCTGAGTCACTTGGAAGCCACACAATATGTTCGCTCCTAGACCACCACAGGCATAGTCTTTCTGCGTGAAAACCATCGAGCCTTGAAATTGAAGCACATGTTATATTTATCAGAGCTACACTCCCCAAGACCTCCAAGCCTTATTCATGCTTTCCTATATTTGGGCATCAAATGATCTGTCAATATGCTGCTGAAGCACAAAATGGTTCTCTTTTCACTATGCCATTTGGCTTTAAATTATCTAATAATTTTAAAGCATCCCAACTCCCCACTTTACCTTCTCAGTATTTCAAAGAATCGAAATCTCAATAGGAAAATAAAAGTATTGGCACAATATATTCTGAAATGTTAGTCTACGGCAAGAGTTTGAATTGCAGCAGACAAATTATCGTTTGGTCAACATCTAATAAAAGCCATTTTGCACAGCATTATGAGACTCTGCTAGGCAGCAGAAACATTAAAAATATTAACCTAGTCCATCAATCATTTCACAAATTGGCAAGGTATCTGCATTGAGGTGTTTTGGTTGGTTTTTTTTGTTTGTTTCGGTTTGGTTTTTTTTTTTTTTTTTTGAATGAGAAGAAAGAACTCATCAGCAACCTCTGCACATGGTGAAGATCAGAAGATCACTGGGTACAACTGCATGCATCGCCAGAAGACCATTTCAGCAGAACTCATCTTTCTAAGACCCAGAAAGCAAAAAAAGTAAACATACAGGTCTTATTGCTCTGTGCCTTTACACTGGCAACAGCCAATAGAACTTACCTGCATGCATTCTAGGTGCATTTGCCGTAGCTACAGCAAACAGGGAGGAGATCACAGGAGCAGCAGTCTGCCAGAGCTGCGACAGCGATAAGGTAATCTATAGGATCACATCCCTCTGCTGTGCTGTAGTTTTTCCTTTGATCACACATGACATGTCTTGATCTATCTAAAAGCCTAAGGTGAGCAATTCATCACATAGCTTACGTCCCAAGTGTGACACAAGTGGCTCTGCGGGATGGAAGACTATCAGTAGCTAGGCTGAAGAGGAGGGCATCTGTGAATTCAATGATGGGCTAAGTATTACCCTAGGTCACTTCCCACTAACAAAGGCACAGCGATCATAAAAAGGAGGGTCAAGAAGCTGTCAATTTAAACAGATACAGTGTCCCTCCAGAGAAAGCTAAAAGTTTAAAAGTTCAGCTGTAGGACTGGCAGAGAAGCAGCTTGTGTTTGCTGCAACTTGGGAACGGTATAAATAGGGCTTTATGGCAGGCTGTAACATCATTAAAGGTGGTACACCCCATATAACCTGGAAAAGAAGAACTAAGGTTTTAGGAAGTTATGCTTTACTGAATATGGCTTTCTTGGAAGACATAATACAATGGAGCTGCAAACTTCATCTCTCTGCTTTTCTCAGCACTGGTAACAAGTGCCCAACTGAAATACAGTGGCCACACTGGGCACCACATATCAGGTAAGACACATCAGGTAAGAAAAGGGTCTAAAAGAGAAACTCAAGAATGATCAGAAGACTAAGAAAGTATGACCTGTACAGAAAAATTGAACAACCTAATTCAGCCTTAAAAAGATTCAGATTATACAACTTAGCAGAAATAAGGAGCCCCAAACACTGAAATTCCTCAGTCTATAGATCCACTGAAGTTTGGTAGATGGGTTAAATGAGTGTCTGACCAGACAGATGCAGGTATCACTCCTGATGCAAAGCAAAAAAGCAGCAGATGATGTCTTACCACCCAACTAATTGGTATGTTGGATGGAGTTTTTTTCATAGAATCATTATGATTGAAAGAGACCTCAAAGATCATCAAGTCCAACTGTATACCCAATTCCACCATACCCACTGAACCCATTAAACCATGTCTTGAAGCGCCACCTCTAAACGTTTTTTGAACACCTCCAGGGATGGTGACTCCACCACCTCCCTGGGGAGCCTGTTCCAATGCTTAACGACTCTTACAGTGAAGAAGTTCTTCCTAATATCCAACCTGAACCTGCCCTGGCACAACTTGAGACCGTTTCCTCTTGTCCTATCGCTAGTTACCGGGGAGAAGAGACCAACCCCCGCCTCGCTACAACCTCCTTTCAGGTCGTTGTAGAGGGCGATCAGGTCTCCCCTCAGCCTCCTTTTCTCCAGGCTAAACACCCCCAGCTCCCTCAGCCGCTCCTCATAAGACTTGTGCTCCAGACCCTTCACCAGCTTTGTCGCTCTTCTCTGGACATGCTCCAGCAGCTCATGTCCTTCTTGTAGTGAGGGGCCCAGAACTGAACACAGTATTTGAGGTTTGTTTTTTAAATGGATGTGATGTCTACTTGCAGGTTGATTTACATTCAGATATGATTTGATTAGGTAAAGCAATTCTTTGATCCTCAAAAGCTCTCCTTTTGTCTCTTTTGTCCTAGAACACAGCATCACACTATCATACAGGAACGGCATTCAGGGCTGTACTCTGGAGTATTAGCATTTCCTAAGGAATCTACCTTGAGACAGAAAGCAGCTTTTGACGCCAAGTGTAGACAAGCAGGTGCTTCATTATAACTCCCTAGAGATCACAGAATGTCTAGCTCCTACCAAGGCGTGCTCCTTCAGTCCGACCATAAAGGCCCTTTGACCAGTTAGAAGTCAGCATAGGAAAGAGCACAGGAAACAGAAGGGATTTTAGACTATAAATACAGTAAATCAGATTAGCTTTCCTTCTTACGGATTCTTTAACATGCCACAGTCATGTTTTTCTTTAGAAAAACCCTACCTGAATGCCACACAACAAAACCATTACCATCTATGAAAAGAACTTGTTTTATAGAATGCAAAATAGTTCGATAACAAAAAAAAAATCTGAAAGAAACGTTGGTAGAAGTTTTCTTTTATACGCATGCAAGACAAAAACATTTTTGAATTAAACACAGGCCAAATCCCTGTAATAGGCATCACAGCAAAGCCTTAAATAAAAGAGACAAGCTGCAGCATGGACTGCAACACTGAAGGCTAATTCTGTTCCTTAGAAAGAATATAGTGTTGTTTGTGTTAAGGCAACTCACAATCCTTTTAATCCACAATACTTTTAAATTTCAGCCATTCTATAATCCCCACTGTGCTAATACGTGGCTACCTGTAAGTTTAATGAGAGCTGTTAATGCATTTAGAAGAAGAATTTGACACTTAAATCTTAAGTGTTTGTCTAAACACCAAGTTTGTTAGAACAAAGCAAAGGCCAGAGCTTTCCAGTTTCACATCATGCAAGCAAAGGTTATGATGTCTATATGGTGTTTTTTTCTGGACATTTTAGATAATAAACCTACAATGTTCCCTTCTCCCCAGGAAAATTCATTACTAATTAGCCAAATAGCTAAAAAGACCAGGCTGCTTTTCATAAGATTTAATTTGCTTTAATTATCCATTAAATGAAAATGTGGTAAATTAAGACCCCATCCCATGAGCCACAGAGGCTTAAGCAATTTGTCACTTACCAATTCTTGCATAAACCACTTGGGCTGTCAAATACACAGTATTATCTTGTTCTAAAGATTTTCTCGTTTACTACCAAGAGATGAATGGTATGTACAGTGAAGTCCCAACATTAAGATTTGGTTGTTATCAGCTTTTAGTCATTTTACCCATTTATAGACTCTTAACAGTAAATGTCCATCCCACTAACTTCAATAGAATAAAAATAAACCAGCAAGAAAATCATATGTTAAATGGTTTTGTTGAACTAGGATAGATTCCCGGCATCTTGCAGGATGACAAATTCTAAAGATCTATTCTCTACAAGATACTTTGTGTCAAAGAAAGCAGGAAAACCCATCGTGGTAAAAGAAGTCAAAACATTACTAATGAATAAGACCTCCCAAGTCACTAATGTTCATCGCTGCTACAGAATGGTCATACAGTGACTTTCTATCTTTCCTCTCTCCACAGCTGGGCAGCCATTAGGTTTCAAACATTAGGAAATGTGACTGAAGTCTATTTCTTCCCCTGAAGTACTATTTTTCTGGACACTTGCATAGTGCCAAAGGCAAACTAGACTCAACACAGAAATAGACCTGAGACTTCCCACCCTTTCCCACATTAAAGACAACACAAATCCTCCAGCTCCAGTACTGGGCCAGGCCAGCCTAGTTGATTTCAACCCAGCTGAGTATCCTCCCCTCAAAACCAGTGAAGGACACACTGTAGATAAATGCTGTAAAATCTGCTCCCATCCAAGTCTCACCCTGAACTGATAAGATCAAACAGTAAATGTTCTCTCCAAGAGCAAAGCTTATAGCTGCAACGTTTCCTGTGAAAGTGATTTCTTCACAGAACGTGCAATTTCCTGAATTTCCTTCAGCATTTTTAATTCCACAGTGAAGGTAAACACTTTGTGAGCAATCTTAGGGCGATTTTTTTCATATCAGTAGAAACTGTAGGAAAATTAATTATAATTGATTTTGGCAATGTCTAGCAAAATATAACTTAGAAAGAATCCTAAAATAAGTGGTGCAGAGTGAAAAAAGGAAACTGCGATATTATAAGACTTGAAACACATGCTGGCCTCTACTTTAAAGTCAAAGCCAGCATTATTAAAACACTGAACAAATAATCATAATGCACTAGTGTTAAGGACCAAGTAAATGAGCGTCTATATTTGACTTCTTCAGTTTATGTTCTTAATTAGCCTAATTCACTCCACACATAAAAGTTACCACTAACAAACACACTTAGCCAGTTTCTGGATAGCTAACCACAAAGGAGCTCTAGATCATCAGACTTCCATTACTTAAACATATTCTTGGTTTCTTCTCACTGTGTTAACTGTAGTTAATCAGTTCACAAAACTGATTGCTTTAAGAGCTTAAGAGAGAAGACCAGAAAATATAACTACCAGCAGGAAGCTGAGAAGAGCTGCATCTATGTCAACAAGTCAATGAATCGACACAAACCCTTGCAGAAGTCACAGGACTCGACTTTTCTCTGAATGAAAGTCCACTCATGATGGAATAGACAAGTGGAAGTACTGAACCTCCAGTTCAGTACTTTTTAAAATTCAGATCAGTTCCCTGAAGTCAGACACCAAGGAACTGCATAATCCTTTGTGTTGGCATAGCAAAGGGAAAACCTGTTGCTACAGCCTTAAAAGTGGTGAAGAGAACAGCCAATGCTACTTGCCACTTACCATCATTCACACTCAAAAAATATTACAGATGTTAATTAGCATTCCTTTCAAAGCCTGTACAAGACAGTCTCCCAGAAGCTGCAATTCAAGAAGTTTGATATTTCTAAGAGGTTAAAGGATAAGAAAATGCATATCTAGTCAGGACATATATTATAACATGCACCCGCAAACACGATCAGTTGTGATAACACATGAATTACCTAATGAAAACAAGGTAAAAGATTCCATCCATCTCTTTGTCACAAAGTAGAAAACCTTTCAGAACAATTGGAAGCCACACACTACTACAGCAACAGTCATCACAGTGAGACCCAGCTTTTGATTACAAGTTAGTTGCCTATACTAAAATCCCAAAACCAAACTAACACCCTTCCCTCCCCCTTTCTGGAATCACAAAAGTGAACCAATATAATACCGAACTTGGAAAATTAAGGTTTCCCGAGCAACACTGGAATGAAAACAGAAACGCCGATCAGCTTTCAGGCTGCTCTTTAGAACAGGATTCAGCTGCACTCAGTCTATCAAGTATCGATTTCATTCCACCACCCGGGCAAGCCACACAGAAAAACATCTTAAGCTCGGGGGAACTGAAGACAATTCTGAGGAATTCCAAGCAAGGCACAACTT